GCGAATTCTCAGCATATTGCGCTGCATATGGAATTATACATGAGATGGCGGTTTCACAAACCCCACAATTACATAATACAATGATGTAGCCAAAAGAATGAATCGAATCATTGTAAAAAAGTTCGTTCCATGCTCAGTGTGGCTAAATTATCCAAGCCATTATGGGGTGAATTTGTGCTGACGTCTTGTTATCTTATCAACAAATCACCTTATGTTCCTGTAAACTTTGAAAATCCAGAGAAGAAATGGTCTAGGAGAGACATTTTTTACTCTCACTTCAAAGTGTTCGTGTGCAAGACATTTACACTTGTGTCCAAGGAGTTGAGACAGAAGCTTGATATCAAGTGAAATACATGCATCTTTATCTGCTATGGAGATCAAGAAATCGGATACTGGTTGTGCGATCCTCAAGTGAATAAAGTTATTCGAATCAAAGATGATGTATTTCATTTAAACTAGTTTCATGAGTTTGCTCCAATAATCCACAAACAACATCCTTGTATTACCAAACATTCCTCTCAGCAACGAGGAAATGCATCATACCGCTAAACAGGAGAATGATGGCCCAGTAGATGCTGATAATGCTCACGGCGATGAGATTCCTCAACAGGAGGCCTTCACCTGAAGACGCAATTGAAGGTATTCAAGTTCGAGGTTCTTTGTGTGGCATAGTTCCACGGAGAAAATACTCCACATCTGAATGGATACTTGTAAGGAATAAATGTATTTAGATTTTGATGATGCTAAGTAGATTAGAACATTAGAGTACCCCCTTTTGAAATCTTGTATTAGAATTTTTTCTTTGTAAGTATTAGCATAGTCGACTGGCCAGAAACCCTCATTGGCTCTCTTGATCAGAGTTGCTACCAGAGTTAGTCATCAGAGTTGGTACCAGAGCTGCTCATCAGAGATGCTACCTGAACTAGCCATCAGAGTTGCCATCAGAGACGGACATCAGAGTTGGTCATCAGACTTGCTTACACTCAGAAGAATTTGAAGGAACTACCAATTGTCGTGATACTAACGGGAAATTCCCTAAGGGCTAGGAGTCTCTCAACGGAACATGGTATTGTTCACGCATTAAATGCACATTTAATGTGGAACGTACGTTGAGATATTTAAAGTTGATGATTGACCATGCGGATATCCTTTCACCCCCAAAATAGCAAGTCGAAGAACCAACAGGTCAAATCAACAGTACAAGCATTAAATGAAGTTGTCTTCCACACTCCAACGGGAAGACTACTCCCAGTATATATGATACTTCACAAAGAACAACGAGAAAAACTTTTGCTCTCTACAACATTCAAAAAGCCTTCTTGAGATATCAACTTCAACCTCCTTAACCAAGAAGAGCCTACGTTGGAAATATAATATTACCACATCTCCCTATTCCAACAAAGAGCAAAGTTTCTCCTGTTCTTCAACATTTCAAGCACTTCATCAACACATCTTTTGTGACGAAGCAAGTTGGAGAAACCTCTGTTTTTACCGAACTATCTTCTTTTCAAAGAAGGACGTCCAAAGTAACTGGAGTAGTGAAGTGGGGATTCTTCAAGAAACTCAGTGAAAAGGATCAGTCATCAGGAAGCCAGGAAGAGCATCCCGGGTGACATCTAGACTTGAAGAAGACGTGGAGATTTTCTTAAGTTCTAGGGACTAAGGCGTTGTAACAGTTAACTTACAAGCTTAGTGGAACAGTGGACTAGAGGAACACGTTGTTCCATGAATCACTATAAAAATCCCTGGTGTCATTTACTTTATGCATTTACCTTATGCACTTAAGATTCTAACTGATTAACTCAAAGACTTGGACTCTGTGTTCAGCAGATCTTGTCCTGAGAGTTATCAGAAAGGCACCTGCCTTAGTGTTTTCCTGAGGCTACCCGGACAGAACTCTTATCCGCTGTCAGGTCCAGTTCTGCTATCAGAACTTGACCCTCTCTGTCACTAGATTCAGACCATCTCTGACAAGTCACTTGTGACTTTGAGAAAAGTTTGAAAAATCCTGAACAGTCTATTCACCTCCCCCCCCCCCAGACTGTTCCTAGCTTAAACGGGACCAACAATACTTGTTGCTTGTAAGAGGGCCAAAGAGCATCGCTAGAATGAGAGAAATAATGAAAAGGTGGAGGAGGATATTTGTAAGATTTCACCTTCTTTCTTAGAAGTTTCCAAGAAACACCTAAACATGGAAGTACCTTCTTGGAAAGAGCTCTCCAACAAATAGGTATGGTAGAAGATATTGAGAAGATAGACTCGCTACCTTTTGTCTCCAAATCAGTCCTATAAATAAAAAGAAAAAGAAAAAATTGGTTGTTTTTCATTTTCATCATATTATAAATTGAAAAAAAGTTTGTGTAGAGTGATATACACTTAGAGAAGAAATGTATTAGTGAAGATTGGTGTGAGAATGACTCCTAATTCTATTCTTGATGTTGAATAAAAGATTTTTTCAAAGGAATACATGAAAACCATTTCTTCATAGACTCTACAATTTTGAACCTTAATTAGCGGCTACTAAAACATCAACCATTTATGTGAGAGCAAGACGCAACCATGTGCCAGAAAATGAAAAAATTAGTTGATTTAGTCTCATATATATACTAGTTATTTGTCTCTGTAACTTAACTTACATATCATGTCATATGATTGTGGAGTAACTAATGATGTATGGTCATTAAGGAATTCTCTATCTTTTTCTGATGTATCAAAAAAAATTAAGGAATTTCTATCAGAATATACATTCTCCAGCAAAAAGCACAACTGAAAAATTTACCTTAGGTGTTGAACTTCTGGCGGAAATTCATCTCGTAAAACTTTGTCAAGGACACGTGAGATAATAAAGTAAATATTATATAATTGAAATTTGTGTAGATGAGAGAAAAAAGACCTTAATCACATATTTATTACGTTAAATAGATACAACAACAATAACATCCAAATCTTAATCCCAAAAGAATTTGGGGTCGGCTAACATGAATCGATCTATGATATCGATGCCAAAAAGAGAAGGCGGACAAGAAAAGGAAAAAGAAGTAAGATAAAATGAATAAAATAAAGATACATAAATATAAGATAATAATAACACAAGAATATAACCAAGTTAAAAGAAAAATAAATAAAAGAACATAAAAAAGCTAGAAGATAAAAATAACATAAGAATATAAAAAGATAAGGAAGATAAACGATAAAAGAAACAAGAGAGGAAAGGTAGACAAGACATCAATCGTCCACATGGATGTGCGCCCTCCACTTTGCTTTCTCCAAAGCCACACTCTCATCCAACCCAAGAAGACGCATATCAGTTCTGATTACTCAAATCCAAGTCTGTTTGGGTCTTCCCCTCCCTCTCTTCTCTGACTCTTCTCCCCACCCCTCAAGTCGTCTAACAGGTGCATCACTCAGTCTTCTATGCACATGCCCAAACCACCGCAAACGAGACTCCTGCATCTTATCTTCTATAGGTGCTACTCACACCTTTTGTCTGATTACCTCATTCCTCAGGCGGTCTTTTCTGGTATGTCCACACATCCAACGCAACATACGCATCTCTGTCACACTCATCTTTTGAATGTGGCATTGCTACACCGCCCAACACTCTACGTCATACATTAATGCCGGCCTAATTGTTGTACGATAAAATTTCCTTTTCAATTTAGTCGGCATACCTCGATCGCATAGAAATCCTGAAGCACTTTTCCATTTCATCCACCCAGCTCTGATTCTATGATATACATCTCCATCTAATTGACCATCCTTCTGAATTATGGATCCCAAGTAACGGAACATATCACACACCAGTATCTCCTTACCATCAAGAGTAATCCCACTGTTGCTACCGCTTCTACCTCCACCGAACTTGCACTCCATATACTCAGTCTTGCTTTGGCTCAGTTTGAAACCCTTGCTCTCCAATGTTTGTTGCCATACTTCCAACTTTGCTTTAACACCGGATTGTCTTATCAATCAATACAATATCGTCGGCAAACATCATGCACCACGGTATATCTTCTTGAATAAACTTCGTAAGTTCATCCATGACTAAAGCAAATAAGAAAGGACTCAGAGGAGATCTTTGGTGCACTCCAATAGTAATAGGGAACTTTGCGGTCCTCCCTACACTAGTGCGGACACTTGTAGTACAAGCATCATACATATCCATGATGATGCTGATATACTTACGTGATATGCCTTTTCTAGTTAAGGTCCACCAAAGAACTTCTCGAGGTACCCTATCATATGCCTTTTCTAAGTCAATGAACACCAAATGCATATCATTTTTAGTGTCTTTATACTTCTCCACAACTTGTCTAAGAAGGTGAATGGCCTCAGTTGTTGAGCGTCCAGGCATAAAACCAAATTGATTCTCCGAAATTTTCACACTTTTACGTAGTCTTTGCTCAATCACTCCCTCCCAAAGTTTCATGGTGTGACTCATAAGTTTAATCCCTCGATAGTTAGCACATTCTTGCACATCACCCTTATTTTTAAATAAGGGAATGAGAGTACTCTTCCGCCAACTCACTGGCATTTTGTTGTTTCTCCAAATCATGTTGAAGAAACGTGTTAGCCACTCGATGCCTTTCTCTCCCAAACTTCTCCAAGCTTCGATCGGTATGCCATCTGGGCCAACTGCTTTCTTCCGGCCCATTTTTCTCATAACCTCTTTAACTTTTGTTGTTTGAATCCTCTCACGAAGTCCCTATTTACCATACACTCTGATATAGTAAGATCATCAATACCTTGGACTTTATTCCCGTTGTCATATCTATTACGTTAAATAGATATGACAATTTTTTTGAACAACTAAATATGAAAATATGAATAAATTTATTAGTCTACCAACTGCAGTGATGAATGGAGTGAGCGTGGAGGAATTAATCTACCAACTGCTCATATGAATGGACAGTCGGTCGGTCATCTAAACCATGAAGTTAATATTCAGGTCCGTTCATTCAAAGAAGAAGAGTAGTTTAAAGAGGGGTAAGACCAACTAACAGCTTGAAGTAAACGACATATTTGAATTTCAAAGATGAAATGTATAGAAGAAGCTATGGTTTCATCTATCATTCTTCCAACAAAGCAATGCAGATAGATTAAGCTTCTATATAATGTTCTATATTTAATTGCAGACATTACTGTATATATACATACATTTATAAATATATATTGATCTATATATCCTTACAAACTAAAAGTAAAAGCAGAAGAAAAACAAACCTCCATACATATATGATACGGAGTAGAGTATATGTGATTATATTTAAAATTAAATAGAAATGTTAAGATCTATGCGAGGCTTTTTGTTATCGAGGGTCGGGGAAGTAACAATAGTGTTACATCGGGGGCATCTAGGACTGCTCTTTGAGATGATAACATAGAGCAAACAACAAGGGCAACCGGCAGCAAATGAAGAAGAAGAAGAAGAAGCAGCAGATTCACTACTAGTACAATGACTGCTGCTGCTGGGGTTCTGTTGATGAAGATCAACTTCATAATAATCTCGGGAATGGGAGAGTGGGGGCGAGGAAGATGAGTTGGAGAGCGAGATGGCGCGCTTCCTGCCACCGCTGCTGCTGCTTGATTCCTCTTTTTCCACCACCCGTTCGAGTGCAGATTTTACTTTCTCCAGGGTGCACACGCTCGGCAGCTGCTGCTGTTGGCACGGTGGCAGCTGCGGTGCAGTATTAACCAGCTTCAACTCTAACAACTTCCTCTCAACTTTCCCTGCTTTCGAAGAGGGGGACAAGGACGACGATGGTGGAAAGTTGAGGTCTTGCTCCAGCTTTCCATCCCACCATCTCTCATTCTTCTTTTCTCCCGATCTCAGCGACGAACTGCACCTCTCGAGATACACCTTCCCTGACTGATATACATAGATGATACATCATATTAATCAACACACCCACACTGCGACACACACACACACAGATTCTCAAAGCAGACAAAACCTGCCTCTTTTTATTATTCAAAAGGATCCATGGCAAGAACACTATAGGCGTAGAGACTTAACTGACGATCAAAGCATTAACTAATAAGGCAGGCAAAAGGAGCAGCTATACTTTTTATTTTTAGCATTGTTTATAGCACATTTCATCATATATATGATCGATTGGCTCTGTAAGGAGACTAATTAAGAAGGGCTCCTGTCTTTTTTTTTTCCTTAAATTAAGGAGACTAATCATCTCAAACCAATAAATTGACTTTGGAAAATATATAAACAGAATCCCGTTCATCCACAGGCCAGAACAAGCACGCGTATTCATCTATAGTATAGCAATCATCAAACCTTTAGTGCTCCAAAAATTGAAAACTGTTTATTCATAAAGAAAGAGAATGACTGAATCATGAATGTAAAAACACTACCGGGCCATCTAGATGTAAAAACACTTCCGGGCCATCATGATTCATGAATGTTAATCCGCCAATCTTATGTCAAAATCAAAGCTACACTCCAACAAAATATGATAAAGATTGAACCTTTCATAGAACCCCACAATAAATCAGGCATGAAGCTGGAAGGAATCTCCTATTCAACCCAAGAACAGAGAGGAACCCACCCCAAACAAACAATCAAACAAACAAAAGAGGCATCAATTGAAAGGCAATCAGGCAGGTAGGTAGAGGTGTTTACCTTCAAGTCGAGGCGCTTTTCCCAACCAGAAGGAACCTGCAAGTCAAGGTCCAACTCCTTGGAGTCAAGGGAGCAACACCCGCCAAGGAGGTCCCTTGTGATCGGGGGGGCCGTTGACTTGCCGCCACCAGATTCATTCAATTCCCGACCGCTCATCATCCTCACCAGGGAGCTCACATCAGCTGCCATTGATGACGGCGGAATTCTGTTTTTTATTTTATGATGAGATGAGAAACCAGACGACGAATTGAAGAGCGCAGCGAGTGGATATGGAGAGGCAGTCCCGTTATATATAAACCACCACTAATCATAATAATAATAATTATTATTATTATAATAATGGGCGCAATAAAGATGTAATTGAATTGAATAAATGAAAGAAACCAAGAAATAAACAAAGAATCGAAATCATAATGGAGAAATAAAGAGCATTAAGGAGAGTTCAAGATTTGAAGCATTTTCCTTTCCATTTGCCGGGCCCGGTGAAGAGGGGCCGTCAGTAATGGCGGCATTAAATGGAATAGTGGACAGCTGTGAGTTATTGCACTCCGCATTTCGTTGAATTTAATTCTATTGCGTATTTAAAACCTCTCCTTTAGACCTTTCAACTTCCTTGGATTAGATGGCTCGTTAATGCTCCTTATGACTTCCCTCTTTATATCCAAAATTATTTCATTTCCTTTGTCATTTTCTTCTCAATTATTTTCACTTCTCTTTGAGCAATTGATTACATTTCTTATTAACAAAATACATTCGAACTCATTTATGCATCTCATGGTTTATAGGCTAAAGAATGATTAATTATATTGGTTGAATCCAGCTTATATTGAGATTGTCGATCTTAAATTATTTCATCGCAAGATCAATTATTACTATCAAGCCAGTATAAAATGTGTTCTCTATATTGAAATTTTCTCGTCGGTTCTATTATGGTTTGTTCTGGTTTAAACTATTCTGATTTGGTAAATGTCTGGTCTTTGTGTATTTTATAACTGTCGAAATCTAATCTGGTTTTGTCTGTTTAAATCTGGTCTAATTTGGTTTGATCAAGTCTGATCGGGGACTAAAATAGTCCAAGTGAAAACATTCTAACGAATGTTTCTCAATATTAATAAAACCCAAAACGAATTGAAAGCTTATACTCCACAATTAAGTATTAAAGAAAGGGGAATTAAAGTAATAATTGCGAGCAACTCGCATTTCATTAGTAAAATTTAGCAAACCGATGTGGTATTCTCAATTGATCTATTTACCATCATAATTCAGTCATATCAGTGTTTTGATCTTCTCAAGTTCATATAAACCTCAAATCCCTTTTTGTTACAAATTCACACGAGAATACTACATTTTCTTGTGGATATGAACTTCAGTTCATTATACTAAGGTATTAGTGATTAGTATTGAATTAAATTCGGTACACGCAAGATGACAGCTAACAACGGTCTTCGTGCTCATGTCGCCCATGCAGTCTTCGTATTCATGCGATTCCTCCCTCAGCTCTCTCCCCATCTTCATCTCCTCCGCAGATAATCGGCGAGGTTGACTGCATGGATACACCATTATAGTTGGCCATAGGGAGTCCTCATCTTTAACGATGTTTAAATGGCATAAATTGTTGTGGCACCTTGTGCGGACTCGTTCCAGCAACTATAAACCTTAAAGACGGCAGTGGCGGGGATGCAGGGATCCGGCGTGCAGGAATTGAGAAAATAGGAATGCAAAAAATCGTCAGAAAACGAGCGTGCGGCGGAGATTTCAACAGGATCACAGATGAATCTCACTCCTCAATGATGGCCATGTGGAGCCCAACAACAGCATAATTAATATTGTTGTATTTCTGTTATGTATGTTTGCACTTTTAATTAGTTTCATTGTTTGTTGGTGCGGAAATTATACACTTTTAGTGTGATACTTTATTTTTCTAGTTAGTTGTAATTTGTTTAGATTATACCATTCTAAGCTAAAACAGGTCAAGGATCAATCAAAGAATCATGGGTAAACCCCAAAGGAGCAAAAAAAGGTGCAAGAGAACAAGACAAAAAGTGAATTTCGTGATTTCTAGTATGGACTTGAGTCTAGAATCAAATTTGATACAATTCATGCAGGGAGATTTTTTACCATGATTTGTTGTTTTACCCAATCAGGTGTACCACATTACCCAGTCGGGTATGATGGGATTTTGCAGCTTCCAGACAACTACCTCAGATATCCGATCGAGTACCTGACCCTGTCTGCTCCAAATCCCTATAAAAGCACATCTTTCCTCTCCAATTCACATATACTCTTAAGCTCGATTTAGATAAGTTTTTTCTTTATATTTTCCAAAATATTTAGTCTCAAAATGAGGAGCAAAACTCTTCCATCCTTGTTTTGCTATATTGAAGCTTGTGTTTTGTAAGTTGTGAATTATTTTCTTTAATCATCTACTCTTGAACATTAACTGCATTCCTATTTATATCTCATATTAATGTTTGGGCATTACTTAAAGGATCAACTAGTTTTGTTTTCATATATTAATTACTATTAGAATCGATCGATGAATACGTTTGTTATTCGCCCGGTCCCTTAAACGGTAGTAACCTTAGATTACTAATGCATGAGTCTCATGGTTAATAATCTAAGGGGAATTAGTTATATTCATTAAACACTTGTGTTGATTTCATCTTTATTGCTACTGTTGGGTGAAAGGACTCCATGGCTGGACTTCGAGACACGCAGCGACTGCTTCAACAGCTTCCACAGCTTCACCACGGCAGCGAGGACTCAATACAGGAGACGTCGTCACTTTACGTGCAGAGCGTCAACCGGATTCAGACCTCCCACACCTGACCGGAGGACCGCAACTCACACACCTACCAAATCAGACCTCCAACTCCAAACCCTCATCATCGTTCAGTAGACACAAATTAAAAAGGGAGTTTCTGCAATTTAGATGGACCTCGCACCCTCAACGTCTTCATGCTTGGGAATCGAGTCCGGAAATTTTTGGTCAGCCTCGAATAAGGAACAAATCAAGGCTATGGCGTCCTGCGACATATTCGCCTAGAAGACCAACAATACGATTGTGTTCCTTCGCACATGACCATTTCAACAGGACAAATTTGTCCTCACACTCCCAGAATCGGCTACGCAACAGAGCAATCTTCAAGGATTCACTATCCCCATAGACGCCAAAAAACAGCTGCAAACAGAAAAGGGCAACTCTAGTAAGGTATCGGCCTATTCTTATGCGAGATGGGTGTAAAATTTCAATTGAAAGTAAACTCTTTGAATTTCATATAATCAATTGCAATGCTCTGCGCATATTTGAAACGAAACATGGAATGCTTTCTGTTATTAACCTTGATTTGGAAAAAGCTTGTTGGTTGAACGCCTCCATTCCCAATTTTTGTCCTGGTAATTGGTCTTGCAATAGGTTAGAGATGAGTTTCATTGCCATCCTTGATGATGCTAATACATTTGGAGGTTTTATTCGAATTATTGAGAAGGGTGGCAACTCTCTATTTATACCTGAAGGGCGAAATGGATTTAGAATAAATTGTTTCTTGTCGGGGATTGCAAGAGAAATTACTAAGATGCAAGCAAACACAGTAAAGGAGTCATTGCAGATGATTGAATATGATTGATGGAGTATATGTTCTGGGACACCCCGTCCCACATACTTCCACTACTGCAAACAGGCCCAAACGGGCCAAGCCCAGCAAAATGGAGCTCTAAGCATCCCACAATACGCAAAGGGCGGCCTTCGGCCCCATGGCCGAAGGCTACCAGTGACGGAATCGAGCTCAGAGACATCACAGGAGAACAAGGCTCAAAACCAAGCCTTCGGCACGTACAGCCTTCGGCCACACAATGCCTTCGACCACATGATGCCTTCGGCCACATGATGCCTTCAGCCACACAATGCCTTCGGCCACATAATGCCTTCGGCCACACAATGTCTGCGACCACATGATGCCTTCGGCCACACAATGCCTTCGGCCACATGCTGCCTTCGGCCACAGAACTATCGACGAAGATTCCTTTTAGAGACACCAACCACCGCATTTAATGCGACGTCACATCCACCTACCGCATTTAATGCGGTGCACATGTGAGTGCCGGTGCCACCCCGATTGAGGTGACCCCTCGGCCACCAGATTGTTGACACGTGTCCCTATCTAGTATTTATTGCTGCTATAAATAGCAGCCCATTTCCCCATTGTAAAGGACAACAAGTTCACATATCGAATATACACTCTCTCTCTTACTTATTTGCTCTGACTTCTCTCTAGTTATTCTCCGCAATAATCCCTCAGATAAGCTACCCCCGGGTACACTATCCATCATTTGGTGCTCTCGTTGAGAGGTCGAACAATCAAGTAAGAAACCCTGCCCCTCGGAAAAACACAAAACACTTATCCAAATGGTGAGAGCACCTCGTGCCCAATCCAAGACTCATGAGGACAGGAACCTGGACCTCGGCGACGTCGACGGCCCCGAAGCCTCTAACAGGGCTCCCGAGGGCGGCGCCCTCACTGGGTTGGAACAGACGGCTGTCGACCTGCGCCTTCAGCTCCAACAGAATGCTCCCGATGCCCGCCTCGGCATCGAGGCCAAAAAGAATGACTGGAGCGAAAACCAAGTGAGCCATCCGGTCCTCACTATCGACGTGCAGTCGGCATTCTACGCCTTCATCCAAACACTCACCCAAAATGTAGGTGCCTTCGGCACTCTGGTGCCCCTTCAACCACAGGTCGGGGAGAACATTATACCTCTCCCGCATCCACCCCCCTTCGTGAACCCTACCCCTCGGGTTGGGAACGACGAAGGGGTCGTGGCTCAAGACACCGCCTCCCAAGAAGTCCAATCCCGGGACCGCCATGGCGCAAACAAGGAAAGGCCGTAAGACCCCCGCCCTCGAACGGCTTGTAGGGGCGCAAGACCGCCGAGGGGTCCAAGACCGCCTCGGTGGAACAACGTTCCAAAGACCCCAAGAGAGTGGGGGATCCGTTTCAAGGGCAGACGAAAGACGCCTCCCGCGGCACAAAGGCAAGGGACTACTCCATGCCGACGACGCCAGACACCAAATCAACCAGGCCCACTCCACTCGGGTACGCTCGCAGGGGGCGGAGGCCCTCCCGAGGGATCCCAGAGACGAAGTGATTGAATCCCTCCAGCACCGCCTTGATGAAATGGAGGCCCGCCAGGCGCACACTACAGCTTCCACCTCACAGGCGGACCCCAAATACACCGCCATGCTAGAAAATATGGAGGAGATGCAAAGGAAATTTGCCAAAGGCTCCGGGGAACCCATCATCCAACTCCGAACTCGTACGCCATTTACCCCAAGGGTATTGGCAGCCCAAATTCCAGGGAAGTACCGAGGGCAACCCATCAAGCCCTACGAAGGAAAAACTGACCCCAGGAGCACTGCAGTAGGTATCAAAACAGCATGATGATGATGGGGGCATCAGATGAATATTTATGTTGTTGGTTCCTTTCCACCTTCGAGGGACCAGCATACGAATGGTTCAACCGATTGCCCGAGGGCAGCATTGACTCTTGGCAAGATCTTGCCCAACGCTTCCTCACCCATTTCGCCGGAAGGAAGCGCGCGAGAAAGCACTTCTCCCACCTCCT